ATTGAGAGGAGGTCAAATTTAAGCTGACGACTTTTCACCTACACCACAACCGAACCTGGCTACTGAATAGCTTGAAGAAACCGAAAACCATAAAATCAAATAAGAATATTCATGATGCGATATCAGATTGCCTCTGCCCACTACAACAAGTTCGGTTGACGATTGCACTGCGAAATTTACTCAGAAGACGGACACGCAGAGTCATATTACCATGAACGTCATCATGTTCTCAATGAGCTTATTGTAGCGTGTCCATCGTTCAGAGAAGTCTCAAATACATCGCGTCAGCTTGAACGTCAGGATGCTGGAATTACAACACTAAGATGCTTGCGACAAAAAAAGGAAATCCGATTGGTAGACGTCAACACAAACTGCATCTCGGTGGGACTACACAGTGGACCAGCCGGGTAATAAACTCCCTCAAGGCAGAAGCGTCAAGCATGTGCCAAAGGCTTACGTGGTCACTTTTTCGAGCGCTAAAGCTTTCCAGTAGCGTTATTCCGGTGACTTGAGGCAGCCGCAGCACACAATCGATGGAACGCAGCGCAGTAGTTAGCTTGGCCTTTACCTCACCCGGCTCGGTAGGGCCCTTGGAGATCGACAGGCTGACTCATGCGTGGGTAAATTCTCGTAAATATAAAATGATATCCCGTATCTCCTCATCTCATTTGTCGGAACTAAACCCCCTCTCTGGCGAACATGTCCAGTGAAGCCCCGGCCAAACGCCCATTTGCCCTCAAGTTTAGATCATCTGTCGGCTTTGTGACAGCAGTTGTGCTTCTCTCCGTCTTTGTGGACATATTTACTTATGCTCTGATCATTCCGGGTGCGTAAAGTGGGTTTCGACTCGAGAATATAACGGCTGATTCCATTTTGTTTTACAGTGATCCCATTCCGTTTAGAAGAGCTAGGCTACAAGTCACCAGCCGCATTGGCTGGATGGCTGATGTTTGCCTTTGTGAGTCGTCTCATACAATTTCTTCGCCATGTGGACTTATACCTGCACTTCAGTCTTTTGGTCTTATTGCCAGTACGTCAAGCACCTGAATGCACAACATACAGGGTCTGACCGGAGGACCTGTAGCGACTCCTCCTCTTGCGTACCTAGCAGAGAGATACTGGTCTAGACGCGCACCATTGCTCATCGCTGTGCTACTGTTGATTGGATCTCAGGCCTTGTTTATGGAAGCTAGTGTATACTGGGTAATGATACTAGCTAGGTTTATTCAAGGGGCGAGGTAAGGGTATCATGCCTCCATACAGGGCCAGCCTAATGATTTCTTGCACTAGCTCTGCCGTAGTTTGGATGCTTTCCTTTGCCTTATTGTGAGTCCACAATCCAAGTTATTCATGTACTCTAACTTGAATTATAAGGTGCGATACAGTTCCAGAGGAGATTATCGCTCGTAAGATTCTTTGTAAGATTTAACCCGTGCTTGACTTACGGATATGTAGGTCAACTTGGTATCGTCATGATGGGAATGACTTTGGGATTATTAGTGGCACCACCAATAGGCGGAATTATGAGTGAAAAGTCCGGGTACCGTTCACCGTTCATCCTGAGCATGAGCGTATGCGCCATCGACCTCGTTGGCCGCCTTCTCATAATCGAGAAAGATGAGGCCGCGAAATGGGCTGAGGATACTGCTCCAGAAGTTAGGCAGGAGGCGAACCCGGACACTGCATCAGGTCAGTCCCTCGCCCTGTAGCATTCCTGTTTCTCAATATTAGTAGTAAAATCCCGTGAACGATCACAACTCTCTCCACTCAAAGTGTTGATCAAACTTCTGCGCTCCAGACGCGCATCCATTGCAATCCTCAACGGGTTTGTCTTTGGGTAGGATAATAGCTTATGAGACTGCTGTGGCATTGACATGGTTTATCTAGGACGGTTCTCACAATGTTAGAGCCAACTCTTCCCCTTCGACTACAGGATCTCTATGGGTATACGTCATTCAAAGTCGGGATCATCTTTCTCGCATGTACGGTCCCCTCGTTGATATGTATGCTTTTCGCACGATTATCCTTTCTAATGCAAGCTGATGCATAAGCATTCTAGCTACTCCATTGGCTGGTTGGGCGACCGATAAAATAGGAGTAGAATGGGTCATAGTGGCGTACCTGGTCTGTTCGATACCCTTTTGGCCTCTTCTCGCGATCAAGGGAAGTATATCACTACTGGCTACTAGTCTTGCGTTTGCATGTGCGTATTGTTTAGAATCTCGGGTAGGGCATATATTAACTTTTCTTCCCAATTGAAAGTCTTCTTTATGGACGGGGTGGCTACACCGGTCACTGCAGACCTAGCAGCCATTGCAAGAGAATCAGAAGGGATTGGCTGTGAGTGTGGTAGTCAAATTCTTAGACATTTTCTCATTCGACTAGACGCCCATACTTTTGGCGCCTTCAATCTCGCCTACAGTGGTTCCAATGCCAGTAAGTACGAATCAAAACCCGATAACTTCATTTATCTAAATTCACTTGAAAGTTGGTCCCGTAATCGGTGGACAGCTATACACACATGTTGGGAGAGGCTGGAGTGCAATTGCTTACTTGAGTTGCGGTCTGATCATAATTGCCGCTATGGCAGCGTTCTATGGTTCTGGTTCCAGGCCATTATTGGGTCGGCTAATTGTGTTACTTCGCAAGGACACTGCGGATGGCGACCCGGATATGGTGATGGGCCCTGTCCCAGCGGAATCGACCGAGCGGCCCACCTCCTTGCATTCACAGCACCAAGGATCGATCAGAAACGTCGCTCATGACGAGATCATCGCTGAACCGAGTGTAAAGCAAGCCTAGAGCTAGGTGTCTTGCTCTCGAACCTCGCTTGACCTATTGTAACCGGGAATTGATTGGAGTAATGACCTAGATCACGACTTAACTACATCACTACTTTTATAGAATCCCCATTCTAAACATAGACCCAGACAGAAAACCTGTTGTTTGTAAAGGTTCGCTCTTTGAGCCCAGGCGAGCGGTATGCATGGTAAATCATGTTTGAGTCCTTCATCGTGTCCAGAATCTTTGATCATTATTGCGTAACTTGATTTTGGCTCGGCCGTACTTAGCGTTCCCAGGATCATCGGATGCAGGTTAGTTCGGAGTTTAAAGTTGTACAAACTAACTCTGTCGTTCTCGAAGATCTCGATATTCTCTGAGCCAATTCTCCGATGAAATCGCACTGTATACCACAGACTAGATACGATCTACGGGATGTGTATCCCAGTGACACCGCTGCAAAACCAAAAACTGTAGCCGAGTGTGCATGTGCTGCTCATAAAAGCACGTACAGGCAATGAAGAGCCTATTGGTGCTCTTTTACACCTAAAGTAATGCAAAGAAGAGAAGAAGACGGCAAGACGAGAGGAGAATTGAGGCCATGCGAATTGACGAATCGACACTCCCATGGCGCTCCTCCCACGACACAAAGTGCAGCCGGTCTTTTTCGGGGTGCATAGCTTGAACTCTACTTAATCTTTAAACACCTTCAGAGTGGTTGTTTCTGTCCAAAATGCAACCCAGCTCACCCCAAGCAAAAAAGCCGTGGGCTGTCAAGTTTCGATCCTCAGAGGGCTTTTGCACAGCTGTCGTCTTTCTCTCGGTTTTGGTGGACCTCTTTGTGTACTCTTCAATCATCCCGGGTGAGCATACCGTGACTTCAGCTCACGACCATCACTCAACTAGCGTATAAAGTCATTCCTTTCAGGCTCGAGAGTCTTGGATATGAAAAGCCATCGGTAATGACAGGATGGCTATTGTTTGCATACGTATGTCTTTCTATGCTCTCTCCTGACCTGAAGCTAACCTTCCTATAGTCTCTCGGTCTCGTATGCGGTGCGTTGAACTCTGAAGCTCGATGCGCCGATGGCTGACTTCGCCGCAGCTACACCTCCACTAGCTTACTTTGCTGAAAAGTACTGGTCACGACGGACACCTCTCATAGTCTGCTTATTGGTACTCATCGGTGCTCAAATAATGTTTATGGAGGCTCCATATTATTGGTTAATGTGCCTCGCTCGAGTGTTGCAAGGCATCAGGTACGTCTCGGCCATCTACTCGGTCATAGAGTATCCACCGACTTCTCTCTTCAGTTCTGCAGCTGTTTGGGTAGTCGCCTTCGCAATGCTGTGAGTCCGACCGTTCGCCTTTGAACTCCTGACCTGATAGGATGACGACAGATGCGATACAGTGGCCGAAAACCGTCTTGGACGTGAGAGAAACTTAATTCCTATTTTTTGTGTACGTAAGGCTGATTCTGTGTACAGGCCAGCTGGGGATCGTTCTCACCGCTCTCACGATCGGCTTCTTAATTGGCGCGCCACTTGGGGGTGTCCTCAATGATAAGCTAGGCTATCGTGCACCTTTTATTGTTGGTATCATCACATGTTGCCTTGATATGGTAGGACGACTGCTCTTTATCGAGAAGCATGAAGCCTCGCGGTGGATACCTTCTGGTCCTGTCTCTGAACAGCCCTCTGAATCCGAAAATACGGATTCTACATGTAAGATTCTATCGATATTACACGATGGTGGTTCAGTCGTTGATCTCTTTCACAGGCGAAGCCCCGAAAAAATCTCATTTATCTGTGATTACCGTCATTGCAACTTTGGTTCGCTCCAAACGCGCTTCGGCCGCATTCTTAAACACGTTTATTTCTGGGTAAGTAGCATATAAGTATCTAAAGCAACTTTAACACTCTTGGTACCAGAATAATATTCACTATAACGGAACCTACGCTACCTTTACGATTACAAGACCTATATGGATTCACGTCCTTCGAAGTTGGCATTATTTATCTCTCTGCAGTCATTCCTTCTCTATTCTGTACGTATTAATCCAATCATCGCACGCACACTTCTGAATACTCTGCAGCGACTCTACTCTCTGGTTGGGCGACGGATAAATATGGCATAGAGTGGGTTGCAGTTAGCTGTTTATGCATTTCTGCACCATGGTGGGTCATAATGGCTCTGCGTAGTCATCTCGCTCTCCTTGTATCCGCCATTGCTCTAGCGAGTGAGTGCAATAATGTTAGAGGAACTTCACAAACTGACTTTTCAAGATTTTTTCTTCTCTGCCTGCGTCACTCCATTTACCGCAGACTTGGCAGCCGCTGCCCGTGAACTCGATGGCATAGGATGTAAGGAAAACGTTCAATTTTGTCCGAATATACATCTAACCCTATCACTTAGACGCTCACGTATTCGGGGCCTTCAATTTTGCTTATGCTTGTGCAACGGCTGGTACGTTTCCTATGGTACAGAATCTTATCGTGTATTAACATATGGTTCTAGTTGGTCCATTATTGGGAGGCCAAATATATGGTCACGTAAAGCATGGCTGGACAATCATCATGTGTCTAGCTGCAGGTCTCATCTTATTTGGGGCATTAGCCGCCGCATGGGGGTCAGGTGAACGACCTTTACTCACCCGACTGGTCAGGTTGGTCAACCGATGGACGAGTTCCACACCCAAAACATCGGCCATTACGTCTGGTACCTTGGAAAAGGGCCTTAAGGGTGATGCCCTTTCGCCGCGTAAATCAAACCAACAACCTACATCCTCGAATGCTTCCAAAACGTCCTTATCCGAATCAGGATCTGATATCACCGAAAAGGTCATATCTTCGAAACACGTCTCTCTATCAGAGACCTCATTCAATAAAATGTCTTCAAGGCCTCCCTCTACAGTCGGGGTGGCTGAAGGGGTTACACCGTCCAGATCTGAATCGATATCGGAAGTTACCATGAATGGATCGAAGCCCCCATCCGTGCTTCCTTCTAGTTCGCAGCTTACTCTGGAGGATAATTTATCAGAACTAGGGACCAGTAAAGAGGTTAACGATGAATTATCGCTCACAGAGAGCCAATCGGTATCGGATTTGACTATACATGAAGACCCTTCAAAAGAAATGTCGAACCCAGAGTCCTTGGACCCTTCTCTTCCGTCACCGACCGTAGAGGAGGGCACTGTAGAACCCGTGGTGACATCAGGGGTCGAAACCGGACAAGAGTCCGCCGCAAGAGACCCTTCACCCAATTCGGAATCATCGACGAAGGAGATACCGAAAGAAGATGAGGATACAAAAAGGACTTGATCAATACCTGTATCTATTTAATCCACATATGTAGCTTATCACCGCATCTTCATGAATCTACTCAGACAAAACACAACTTTATAATGTGAAAACGAATGCTGATCGCCCGATTTGGTTACTGTCCCACCCGGACTTATAGCGCGTAGATCTAATCTATGATTCAGCGGCTGCTTACATGAACATTTTATAAGACCTGTGGCAAAGTAGACTTAGTCACTCACAAGAGCGCGGACACAGTCAAAAGAGACGCTTTAAAGTCGCTTTCCGGAATATTCTACACTTTTTCGGTAAGTCATCCAGCTAAAGGCGCCTGCATGGAACGCCTATTTATTCACCACTTTGAGTGGTAAGCGCTGACTTCTCTGTATAACCCAGACTTACTCTCCCCCTCATCCGTCTTTCCAGGTAAGAAATCCTTCCCAAATTCTCCAGGCTGTCTACAGCACGCCCATCGCTGCCTTCACGCTGTCCTGGGATCCATGCTCATCACCGTTTGATTATAGTCTCCGTTTCCTGTATTCACCTCAACACTCTGACCAATGGCTCTCAAGCGCATTAACAAGGTGAGTTTCATTCCACTCTCAATCCATATCGCCAGCTGGAGCGGCCACGATGCTCCTAGACTGTCGTCGCCACCGCTCTCAGGTGATTGGTCATTACGCCGCACGTCTCCGTCCAGCTGGTCACCCGATCTCAGTCGATCCTAATGTAGACGCTTTTGCTGACCCTCTTCGTCTCTTTCGCGCCCGCAGGAGTTACTTGATCTTGGTCGTGATCCTCCCGCATCATGCAGCGCCGGGCCAAACGGGGAGAACATGTTTCAATGGTCGGCCACGATAATGGGACCTGTACGTATAAATTTCCATCATTTTATGGTCTGTAAGCTGTTGAATCACTGACAACTTGGATATTCTACCTGGCTTTCAATATATGTGCTGATTTGATTTGATTCCATTCAAATCCAAAAGTCAGATTCACCATATGCGGGAGGCGTCTTTTTCCTAGATATCAGTTTCCCGACAGACTATCCCTTCAAGCCGCCGAAAGTTAGCTTCAAGACGAAGATCTATCACCCCAACATCAATGCTAACGGCAGTATATGCTTGGACATCCTCAAAGAGCAGTGGTCGCCAGCACTAACCATCGCCAAAGGTTCGTCTTAGCTCTTTATATAGTACCTCTCAGATCCAAGTTGACGTGATGTTGCAGTGCTCCTATCAATCTGCTCAATGCTCACTGACCCCAACCCTGACGATCCCCTTGTTCCCGACATCGCTCACGTGAGTCCTTTTTCACTTATCAATAGAGTTTATTCTAACTAGGATGTAATTATTCAGCTTTACAAGACCGATCGTCAACGCTACGAAGCCACCGCCAAGGAGTGGACAAGGAAGTACGTGTCGAATATCATCTAAACAGTTGAATTGTGCTGATAATATCCCTCCCTAGGTATGCTATGTGAAATGGTTCAGTTTGAGTGATCGGTTTTGGGGCTCGCGACCGACCGTTTGGAACGATGCCTGATCATGTTGCTGTATATTTTAACCGCATTCCCGAATAACATTCTTTCTTCCCGTTATCTTCACTTCATCTGTAAGGAGGATTGGCTTAGCAAAGCCATAGGTAAACTCGAGCGTCACAATATAGATATCAGATTGAGATACCATTTTCCTTGCATATACCTTAATAAGTGTATTTGACCTATTACCGTTCATTTTTCACATTAGAAGGCGAATGAACATTGGACACTTGGGTGACAGGTGGAGCTTTCTTTGCCGTGACTGCAAAGGCCATACGTAGCTAAAGGTGGCCAAGTACCATCATTACAGGTTCTCTTTGACACCAGATAATCTCAAGAATATAATCTACGCGGTCACCGAGGGCTCACGGTTTCGTCGACTGGGGTTGCCCGGGTATTGCTCCTTGGAACCCTCAACCGCCTACCCTGCGATACTCATCGAACGCCTGGGCAATTTAACGGCCATCGAGCTCCCTCCTATTATCCACACTAAGCAAGCGGGTTCAAAGGTAGCTTTTTGCGGATTCCCCGAACCCTCCGTCTGACCGCCCGGACGTGTTGCCAACTCTTTGATAGAACGCTGATACTTTAACGGCCTATATCTCGCCAAAAGCCAGGCCTTTGCACACTTCAAGTGCCTAAACCTGCTTTTAATCACCTCCTCCATACTCCAACTGACCATTTTGCTCAAACTCCCACTTTACGCTGGCGATTCTTCTCTCGCTGTTCACGCGGATCCTTTGAGCTGAAGATCACCCTTTCTCTACTCGAATCGCGCTCCAATTACATCGATTTTCTCTTTACCTCTCCCACCATGCCAGCC